CACCCCCCCCCCCCCCCCATGCACCTTTTGCTCTGGGGAGGCTGCATTGGTGGAATGAGAAGATGTGCTCTCAGGTATGTGCAGCTTATCTTGGTTCCTTAGTGGAACCAAGGGGGAGTGTCTCAGGACTACAGGAGCAGCTTTCATTACAACCCCTTCCTCTTTTACACCTGTACCAGGCAATGGTCCTCATGGGTTACATGGCTGTTACATGGGTCAGGCACCCATAGCTGGTACCTATCCTCCTGATGGGATAACCCGTCATTATTTTGGTGTTGGTCCCCTCGCCTATATTGGATAGTGAAGTTATAAGGCTATAGGGCTCTACAGCAGTAAGTGTTCATTATCCCCCAAACCCCAATCCAAGTATGGGGATTATGGATGGTCACAATGATAAACTCACGGCAATACAGGTATGGCTGTGACTTCCTTAGGACCTATACAACTAAAGATGTCAGTGTCATCAAGATATGTGCAGGAAAAGTCTTGGCAGTTGCACAGCAGCTGGCCAACAGTTCACTGGGAGGTGGCAGGATTATTCTTCATTCCAAAGGGCATATTGAGAAACTTGTTTAATCCAAAGGAGATAACAAAGGCTGAGCATCCCCTACCCTTCCCTATTAAGGGGAATTTGCCAATAGCTGTTGCTTATCTCTGAAATGATGACATATTGGGCCCCAACCAGACGGTCAATCAGCTCATTGATACCTGGCATGGGATATTAACTGCTGACAGTGTGATCATTAGGGTGCTCTCGTCCCAAGTCTCACGGAAGATGTCATCAAGATAAGTGCAGGCAAAGTCTAGGCAGTTGCACAGCAGGATGTTCAACAGTTCACTGGGAGGTGGCAGGATTATTCTTCATTCCAAAGGGCATATTGAGAAACTTGTTTAATCCAAAGGAGATAACAAAGGCTGAGCATCCCCTACCCTTCCCTATTAAGGGGAATTTGCCAATAGCTGTTGCTTATCTCTGAAATGATGACATATTGGGCCCCAACCAGACGGTCAATCAGCTCATTGATACCTGGCATGGGATATTAACTGCTGACAGTGTGATCATTAGGGTGCTCAGTGTCTTATTAACAATACTTTTTTAGGGATCAATACAACAGGTGAGGCCCATGGGTTGCTGGATAGATGGATGACTCCCAATTTTAACATTTCATCCATCTCTAATCTTAATATTTCCTACAGAGTCAGGAACTCAATAATGAGTCTATTGGATAGGTCAGGTCTCCACATGATGGGTGGCCAACATAGTCCTTCCCGTGAGGGAGGAGAAGATAGACTTGCACTGGTGGAGGACAGACTGCATGGCATCCTGTAGCCCCTTGTTGTTGCAGCCCCAGCAGGACTTGGCTCATGTTTGCTTGATTGTGGGTCACCTCCAGAAGATCATGTAAGATATCCTCTTCTTCCTCTGAGAATAGAGGATGGATGGTGAGAACAGACAGGCTCCTGTTATCATTCCTTGGACAGTTTTTTGCTGCTTCCCTTGGTTATCTAATGTGAGGACATAGTTGGTGTCATTCAGTTATGTAGGAATCCAATATGGCCTTTTCCAACGTGGAATGCAACTTATAGTTGGAGGTTTGGAAAATCACAAGCACCTCTTGTTTCTCTATGAACTCCAGGGTGTGGGATTTGCAGTCATACCAAGTCTTCTGGTGCCAGGAAACCAGGGCTGTCACCTCCCCACAGGGTCAGCGGGCACGTCGCAGGGTAGGGTCTCCTTCCAGCCTGGCAGAACCACTGGCGCCCGGGTTGCAGGAGCGCATGCGCGAGTCACGCGGCGGGTGCGCATGCGCAGTACGCAGGCTGCGCGCACATTCCTGGGAGCGTGTGCATAGCGTGCCTGCGCCTGTTTAGGCCTCAGGTGTGGACCTTGCTGGGGGAGTTTCCCGTAAACACCCATACCACCTCTCGCCTGCCATTGGCTCTCATGGGGAGAAGCCTCCTAGTTGCCTCGGTGACATGGGGGCGGACTTCCACCCCCTGGCTATAAAAACCTGGCCAGAGCTCTGGCTTGTTGCTGAGTTATCTCACCCTGTGGTGTGATTTCCTAGCTCCCTGTACATGTGACTTGCTTTGTTTCCTGACCCCCTTTATCTGGACCTCCTGTTGCCGACCTTGGACTGCCTTTCGCCCCTGAACCTTTGCTGCCTGCCTCGACTCGGATTGGACTTGACTTCTCTTTGGATTACCCTTTTGTACCTCTGCCTTCGGACGCTTCAGGCCATTTCCTGCCAGTGAGTTCCACTTCGTTCTTCTGTCAAACCATTGTCACTCCTGACATCTGGTGTGTTTGGGCAGTTTTGAGTGGATTAGCAGTGAAGCCTGATAGTTTGCTCAACCTTTTAGCTAATTTGAAGATGTAGGGCACAACGGTGACCAAAGTGTCCTGCAGCTGCTCCTCCCAGTACTGTAGTTTAAAGGGGGAGAACCTGGTGGATGGTAGTTCCCTGTCTGTTTCTGTATCTACAAAGGAATGCAACGTGGCTTTCAAAGTGCTGTTGACGTGCTCACACAGTTTGTTTGTCTAGAGATGATAGAAAGTAGTCTGAATAGTCCGTAACCCACATGTGCACCAGAGAGACTGCACTAGATCTGACATAAATTGAGTCCCTTGAAGCCTGCTCTCCTATAGACAGTGACCATGGCTTCGGCAATGTTGGGTGCTGCAATACTGGACATGGCACAGCTTCTGGGTATCGGGTAGTATGGCTGAAACCAACTAATTAATAATGAAAATAATTATAACCTCAATGGCAGCATAAAGGAATCGTCAACCTCTTGCAGAGTTAGACTGCTATTGGACACTTTGGTGTATGCCAGATAGCATGTGCCCCGCTGGGTGCCATAGTTTTCCCAGTCAGCCACTATGTCTCTACAGGAAGAAGAATTAATATAGACATTGGAGGAGGAACTATGAATTTGAGATAATATCCATTTTCATATACAAGCAGCACCTGAGGGTTTTGTTTGTTTTACAAGTTTTCAAGGCTCTGTTTTGCTCCTTTGCTAAAAAAGGGAAAGGGAAATAGTTAAAGAATGCCAATGTTCCTGTTTGGGGGCTTGGAGTAAAAGATTCTCCACTCGGAAAAGACAAACCTGTTTTCACTTATTGATGTTTATATTTCCTGTCTAATCATATCACCTGCAAACTGTCTGAAGACATACAATTCTGGTGTAAAAATTGAGAATGTATTGAATTCTGAGTTCGGTCTTTATTTGTTGTTATTCTATAATTCTATAATAATGTATTTCTATATTTCAGGAATCCACCATAATTCTTCAATTTTGGATGTAAGCAGTCTGAAATCATACGGCTACTAAGTCTGTATACTTTAGCACATAATGGAACCCAGAGGAGACATGACACATGAGAATTTGAAGTGTCAGGACATTTTCATTACAAACGCATTTTTAATAGTTCAGCAGATGATTCCTAATGAAGAGAAACCATTTGTGGAGAGCTTAAAACATGAGACACATCTTACTGAACACCAGGGGAGTACTACAGGAGATAAACCATATAAGTGCTCTGAATGTGAAAAGAGTTTTTCATTTAAGGCAAATTTTATTCAACACCAGATGAGTCACACTGGAGAGAAGCCATTTAGGTGTTCTGAATGTGAAAAGGGTTTTACATTGAAGGCAAATCTTACTCAACACCAAATGAGTCATACTGGGGAGAAGCCATTTAAGTGCTCTGAATGTGAAAAGGGTTTTACATCAAAGGAAAATCTTATAAGACACCAGAGGAGTCACACTGGGGAGAAGCCATTTAAGTGCTCTGAATGTGAAAAGGGTTTTATAGTGAAGGCAAATCTTATGAGACACCAGAGGATCCACACTGGAGAGAAGCCATTTACATGTTCAGAATGTGGAAAGGGCTTTTCCATAAAGGAACGTCTTACTACTCACCAGTGGACTCACACTGGAGTGAAACCATTTAAATGCTCAAAATGTGACAAGAGCTTCATAGATAGGAGAAACCTTGTTGAACATGAGAGGATCCACACAGGAAAGAATCTGTTTTTGTGTTCAGAATGTGACAAATGTTTCACCAGGAAAGTTCAGCTCATTGTTCACCAGAGAACTCACACTGGAGAGAAACCCTTTAAATGCTCAGAATGTGACAAGAGCTTTACACAAAAGGGAACTCTTATTGAGCACCAGAAAACCCATACAGGAGAGAAACTGTTTAGATGTTTAGAATGTGACAAGTGCTCTGAATGTGAACAGGGTTTTACATCAAAGGAAAATCTTATTGAACACCATACGAATCACACTGGAGAGAAGCCATTTAAGTGCACGGAATGTGAAAAGGGTTTCACATCGAAGGAAAAGCTTATGAGACACCAGATGAGTCACACTGGAGAAAGACCATTTAAATGCTCTGAGTGTTATAAGAGCTTCATAACTAAGGAAAGTTTTGTAGAACATGAGAGGTTCCACACAGGAGAGAATCTATTTAGATGTTTAGAATGTGACAAGTGCTTCCCAAAAAAGAGTGCACTTGAGGTACACCAGAGGATACACACAGGAGAGAGACCATACAGGTGTTCAGAATGTGACACGTGCTTCTCACAAAAGAGCAAACTTAAGGAACATCAGAAGATCCACACAGGAGAGAAACCACACAGGTGTTCAGAATGTGACAAATGTTTCAGGTTGAAGACGCAGCTTACTGTTCACTTGAGGACTCACACTGGAGAGAAACCCTTTAAATGCCCAGTTTGTGACAAGGGCTTCACACAAAAGGGAAATCTTTTTAGTCACCAGAAGATCCACAATTAAACACAAGATGTTTGGATGCTCTGAATATGGAAAGTACTTAAAGTAGTATTAAACTTTTTCAATAATGAATTCAGATTAAACAAATAGACATTGCCCAGCAAAGAATTGCTTTACATTTTTGCCCAAACGCTTACAATCATTATGCTTCTGAATAGCTGCTTCCATGTCTCTCAGCTTCCCTGAATTCTTGTCCAGTACAAGATCACAAAGGACAGACTACAGCAACCGTTCATCTATTAGCTTAGAGGAGGGAGGAGTGGGGTTAAGGGAGAAGCTTGATTTGCATTTGTGGAGACACGAACAGCTTACTAACACACACAAGGGTGACTACATAGCACTCTGCATGAGGAAGGAGTCACTCTAAAACAGGAAGTCAGGACCAGTGTTTAGGGGATCAGCTGATTCTGTAGAAAACTAAGACTTTTAAACATCAGGGAGCAGCATCAATTGTAAGTGATTTTATCAGCATTTGAAACATCTTAAAATTATTTTGACTTTAATATCACTTTAATTCAAAAGATATATTTTACGGACACTGGATGAGTCACCTAGGAGAGAAGCCTTATCCAAATTCTGAAAGTTATACATTTCAGATGATAGAAATATCTGCTTTTATCTGTTAGACCCCATTCACATTTGGAAATGGGGTCAATCCCATGAGTCTCACAAATTCCTCCCTATGGGCCTGTTCACATGATTTTCAGGTCCGGATCAAGTGCGGATCTGCAGACGCGGTGCTAGGTGTTTTTGATGCGTTCCAGTTAAAAAAATATATATATATATATATCTGCTTCCATGTCTCTCAGCTTCCCTGAATTCTTGTCCAGTACAAGATCACAAAGGACAGACTACAGCAACCGTTCATCTATTAGCTTAGAGGAGGGAGGAGTGGGGTTAAGGGAGAAGCTTGATTTGCATTTGTGGAGACACGAACAGCTTACTAACACACACAAGGGTGACTACATAGCACTCTGCATGAGGAAGGAGTCACTCTAAAACAGGAAGTCAGGACCAGTGTTTAGGGGATCAGCTGATTCTGTAGAAAACTAAGACTTTTAAACATCAGGGAGCAGCATCAATTGTAAGTGATTTTATCAGCATTTGAAACATCTTAAAATTATTTTGACTTTAATATCACTTTAATTCAAAAGATATATTTTACGGACACTGGATGAGTCACCTAGGAGAGAAGCCTTATCCAAATTCTGAAAGTTATACATTTCAGATGATAGAAATATCTGCTTTTATCTGTTAGACCCCATTCACATTTGGAAATGGGGTCAATCCCATGAGTCTCACAAATTCCTCCCTATGGGCCTGTTCACATGATTTTCAGGTCCGGATCAAGTGCGGATCTGCAGACGCGGTGCTAGGTGTTTTTGATGCGTTCCAGTTAAAAAAATATATATATATATATATTTTTTTTTTGCTGGAGTGGTGCTGTCAGTATGTTAGCTGCAGTGCAGTGCGTTTTTCACGCGTTTTGCGTTTCCTGACCGGACAAAATGTGACATGCAGTATTTTTCTGTCGTAACCTGAACGGACTGCGCATGTGAGAACTGTAGCCCATAAAACACATAGGGATACATTGGAATGCATTTTTAGTGCAGGAGCGTACGGATCAGGTCAGCACAGAAAACGGACATTGTGTGAACAGGCCCTGAGACTTAAGTGATCAGTTTCCTCCAGGTGTGATCATCATAGCTAATCAAATGGGGCCAAAGGCAGTGCTGATGCCATAAACACAATTCTGTTGAAGACACATTGGGGTTGACTTAGCAAAGCCTATGGTGTGACGGGCTCCGCTACTCTGGATGAGTAAGTCCATCACTATATTTTTCCTTGCTGAGGAGATACTGCAACCTGATGATCATTAGCTCCTAGTCCACCCAGTCACTAGCCGAAACCAAGTATTGGATGAAACAAACTGCTTTATTGAGCAACTGTGCAACCTTAGATTGTAATCACATCACGTACACCCTGCCCTCCCCAGACATCCTGACTCTCCATCCCTGCCGGGATCTAGCTTTCCAAGGGCTCCAGACGGCCGCAGCAGGGGTCTTGGCTAGATGCACCGGTAGGAGAATATCATTGTCCTGAGCTCCTTGGGAGTACAAAGAGAGCTAACAGGGGTAGCGCTGACAGTCTTTTGATAAAACAGGTTACCCGGTATAACATACTTAATAACCCAACAATAACACACACATAACCCATAAACTGATGAGTAGGTCTTCACATAGCTCCACCCCCCGCTCCCCCAAGTTAAAGGTTGGCAGACCCATTGAGGCCCTCCAGTTCCTTTTTGGGGGAGATAGTCCATCGGCATTAGCATTGTGTTTCCAGGGCGAGTATTGGATTGTGAAAATGAAATGCTGTAGGGTCAGGCTCTACCTCATCAGCCGCCCATTGTCCCCGGGCACCAGGTTCAACCAAACAAGGGGGTTATGATCCGTGAGGATGGTACATGATCACTCATATAGGTAGGGTTGTTGGATACGTTGGGCCCATATCAGGGCTAAACATTCTTTCTTCATGGCCGCATAAGCTACTTCCCTGGGCAAGAGTGTGGCTAATATATGCAACTGTATGGTCATGCCCATCTTCTGACTTTGTTAGCACTGCTCCCAACCCAAACATGGAGGTATCTGTACAGGGTCAGGAGTGGCTAGTACAGGAACCTGAACAAGTGTTTGCTTAAGCTACTGGAACGCTGCCTCACACTCTAGGGACCACAGGACCTGTCGGGGAAGACTCTTACGAGTCATGCCAGTAAGGAATTTGGCGATAGTGCTGTAGTTGGCTACAAACCACCTATAATATACTGCCATACTCAGGAAAGCTAGAACTTGGGTTTTAGTATTGGGGGGCAATAAGCTACGGCTTCCACTTTGGCTGGTGAAGGCTACTGCTTCCCACACCCCACTCTGTGACCTAGGTACTGGACCTCCGACATTGCTACGTGACATTTGTCTGGTTTAACAATCAGTCCCGCCTCTCTAATATGGTCCAGTATAATTCTAATGTGCTGTAAATTCTTTTCCCATGCGTCATTCTAAATGGCTATGTCATTTAGATAAGCGCAGGTAAATTCCTCCAGCCCATCTAGTAACTTATCCACCATCCTCTGGAAAGTAGCTGGAGCATTTTTCATCCCAAATGGCCTGACCCTAAATTGAAAGGGGCCAAATGGGGTGATAAATGTGGATTTCGGCACAGCGTCCGTAGCGAAGGGGATCTTCCCTTTACACAAATCTATAGTAAGGAAGTTGCCCCAGGCAATTCTGTCTTGGGGCTCGTCCACCTGGGCCATGGGGTAGGCATCGGTCACCGTCTGGTCATTTAGTTGCCTATAGTCCACACAAAATATGGTAGTGCCATCCTTCTTGGGTACTAGAACCACCGGGGAGTCCAAGGGGCTATCCGACGGTTCGATGACCCTGAGTTCCAACATATCCCGGATCTCCTTTTGCATTCCGTCCTTGACTGCATCAGGTATCTGCCTCAACGAGGCTTGATCATGCGTATCGACCCGATCCATCTCTAGAAGTATAGCCGGGAAGGGACAAAAATATGTCCATGCGCTCCAGGATCAACCTCTTGGCTTGTTCCCTGGAATGCAGGTCGAGCCCTTCACCTAGTTGGACATCCGCTACTCCTCATTGTCGTCCTTTTCACCTGGCAGTCCCAGGAAAGGGAGACAGTCTGTGTCTTCTATAGCTGGGGTGAATATAGTGGCTACTGCCTCCTCCCTCTCATGGTGTGGCTTCGGCATGTTCACATGAAAGGTTTGTTGCGTCCATTTTATCTGAACATCGGGCCGTTATGTAGGTGGCTGCTATGTAGGTGATATGGCAGAGCTGTTCTATGATCTTGTTTGATCCCTGCAGCTTCTTCTGCTTAAACCGGTTTTAGCACTAGTACCTTTTGCCCTACCTGGAAGATGCGATCCCTGGCTGACTGTCCATACCATCTTTTCTGCCTTGTCTGTGAGGCTTTGTGATTGTCCTGGACCCAGTCAAGCACCTCCGGCGAAGTGTACTTATAAAGTTGCTCCAATTGCACCGTGGAGCTGTCACCTGCTCTACGGTGGTCGCCTGACAGCCTTGGATCCACTTGTCACCACACGATGTAGCCGTGCCCCCACTCCATGCGAGTGTCCTTGTCCTCCTTTTGCCGGCTCCTGCACTTGACTCAATATGTTTTAGGGGTTCAGGCATAGCAAGCGAGCAGCTGTTCCTTCACTCTCTCATAGATGGAACAGTCTTCATTGGCCATGGCCCGAAACGCTTCTGCTGCCCGTACTGTTAGCTGGCCAGTAGAGGGACCCAGTCTGGTGTCAATGCCCTGCAAACTGCATTGTCTCTTAAAATCCTGGAGGAACCCATCAATGTCTCCGTCCCCCTCTACAAAGGTCTTGAAGGCAGTATAGGGTACACACTCCTAGTAACGTAAAAAAAAGTAATATGTGCTTCACATAAATGGGGAAAGGGGGAATGGGCAGAAGCGGAGTGCCACACCCCTGTTTTTATGTTGCAAAAAGAGGGTATTTTGGAGATTGGGGTTTTTTAGGCACTCAAGACAATAGTTAATATAAAAAATTAGAACTTTTATTCAGTACATAATTAAAAAGACGACCTCATATTTATAAAAAAAGAAAACCAACTCAAGAAGAACACCTACAAGCTCCACCAGAATCCTGAATTGTGACTAATTATAGTCACATAAATATATTAGTGAATTCATGCAGACGAATTTTCAATTGTAGGTCGCACCCCCTACATTATGGTTGCATTACCTAATTGACTAAACAGCCGAGGAGTTTAACCATTGTGTTTATCATGTAATCAGAACGGGACAAAAGATGGAATTATTGTTAAGTGTTTGCGACCATCCGTTACATCTATATGTATTTGGTATGGCCCTTAAAAACGAGTGATTTGTTAGATACAGTTGGTTCAAAGGTTATACTATCCTAAC